GTCCACTAGGTTGTTGTGAACCTGGGGGTGCATCTCGCACCCCCTGGGGGGGGAGGGGGGGGCGAGACGTGACCAGATTTATTTAAAAGGTAAATAATCGAAAACACAACTTAAGTACGGGGCGCGTAAGTACAACTACTTTGTTTCATCACACCTCTATGTATTTATTAACATTATACATTTTTCTTACGACTGAGAACCCAAGGAGTACAGGGCTTCAGTAAATGTCAAGAACTACTGCTTTACACGACCTGCAACCTCAAATGACAGAGGTCATCGTGTATTCAGTTCCGTTGTTGCCCGCCGCTAGCGCACACCCGCCTCGCCATCGCTCCCTTCCCGCTGCCAGATCGCGCAGCAGTCGTGCAATCCGCTCGACACCCGCCCGAGAGCAACCTCACTGTTGTACTGTACTTGTAGGCTACCCGTGTGGACACGCGCGTGGTTATGTGGCTCGCTGGGTTAGGTCACGAGAGGTAGTCCCTTTGTCGCAGAAGTTCGCGGATCGAATGCGATGATGGTGATGAGGTGAAGATGACGATGAGATGACAATTACGATGATCGTGATGAGATCAAAGTTATGATGATGATGAGATGAAGATTATGATGGTGATAATATGAAGATGATGGTGATGATGATGATGATGATATAAAAATGATGATGAGCTAAAGATGACGGTGATGAGATCAAGACGACGATGATGGTGGTTACAGAGACGATGGTGACCGAACTGGACTCACCGAGCCCCTTCTCCACGAAGACGACCCTCGACTCGGGGATGAAGTTCTGCCCCGTGAGGTGGAGCTCGTCGCCTCCCGTCACGGAGCCACTCTCCGCGCTCTGGCTCTCGATCAGCGGCAACTCCTGCGCCGAGCGCTGGGCTGTGTGGCGTGCCGGGAGGCAGGGAGCGAGAGGGCAGCGAGAGAGGAGTGGAAGAGATGGAGGGAGAGGGTGGGGAAGATGTTTAATTTGTTAAATCACGGTTTCTTCAATAAAAAGGCCGAAACGCCAAGCTCAGCGGTCAGCAACAAACACCACTCGTGAAGGTGTCAATAGATATCAGATGCATGTAATGAACGTGTGTATGTGTGTGTAAGTGTGTATGTATGTATACGGGGAGTGGTAGTGCAGTGGTTAGTGCGCTGTGCTCCGAACACGGCAAGCCGAGCTCGAATCCTCCTCACGGCGAATACCATTGACGATTATCTGAACAGCTTATGGGTCTCCCCTCGGTCAGCTCAGCCTTAAACCCCTACGGTGTGTAATAATCATCGCCACTGGGGAGACAAAGGCGGCCGGTGCGTGGTGTTGGCCACCCAACCCCTCGCGTGTCGTGCCGGCGTTCATAAGTGCGACTCGCTCACAGCACTTTCCCCTAAAAACTCTGTTGAGGCTATACGGGGGATCATTGTCTTTGTATGCATCAAGGCAAAAAGACGCCACCATGTGTACGACCACACCTCTCACATTGCGTTTCGGCCAAAGAGCGACTCATAGAACATTACCATATACTGTCCCTGAAGTGCGTAATTATAGACTCACGGCTGCGTTATAAATAACGGAGTTCCGCGGGTGACATTTGTTACAGGAATGCTGTTTTTACGCCAACCTCGAACTCCTCGCCACTTATCCCGGATCACTCGGCGGTGGTCTGTCACAAAGCCGGCACGGGGCGTGAGCTCAAGCGTCGTGAGCGAGCTCAACTCTTGATATACACCGAGATTGTTTTTTTTTATTATTGTACCAGGTAAGGTCCCACTGAGCTATGTAGCTCTTTTTTCAGAAGCGACCCGGCCACAATTGATAGCTCAACGAAAGTGGCTTATCGCGTGGAAATTTATAGCAGCCGAATACTCTAAACGCGTGGTGACGTTGATTCTAAATGTGGAGGGAAAACCCGTGAAGATCCGGATAAAAAAGTTCCACGCGACCACATGGAGAGCGACACGCAAATTCCAAATATACAGGAGCAGGAGTCAGGGTCGGGATCGAACCCACGACCTCCTGTGTACCGGGCGAGGGAGTTAACATGTCGCCAAAGCGCAGAGCCGTCTGCTGCTGCTGCCGATGCCGCTGGTAACTCACAAGGCTGAGCCGACCAAGAGGAGGAGGATGCTCAGATGTTGCAGTCGCAACTGATGACCGACGTGCCTAGGGATCTAACTCGGGTTTGCCGGGTTTCGTAGGGCAGTGCTCTAAAACCGCACCAACTACCGCCGTCTCTCTCGCGCGCACTCAAACACAATGCACACACACACATACACAGCACACACACAGCACACACACAGTACACACACACAGTACACACATACACAGCACACACAGAGTACACACACAGCAGACACACAGTACACACACACAGTACACACACAGTACACACACAGCACACACAGCACACACACACAGTACACACACACAGCACACACACAGTACACACACAGCACACACACAGTACACGCACACAGTACACACACAGCACACACACAGTACACACACAGCACACACACAGCACACACACACAGTACACACACAGCACACACACAGCACACACACAGCACACACACAGCACACACACAGTACACACACACAGCACACACACAGTACACACACAGCACACACACAGTACACACACAGCACACACAGCACAAACACAGTACACACACACAGTACACACACAGTACACACACAGCACACACACAGTACACACACAGCACACACACAGTACACACACAGCACACACACAGTACACACACAGCACACACACACAGTACACACACAGCACACACACACAGTACACACACAGCACACACACAGTACACACACACAGTACACACACAGCACACACACAGTACACACACAGCACACACACACAGCACACACACACAGTACACACACAGTACACACACACAGTACACACACAGCACACACACACACAGTACACACACAGCACACACACACAGTACACACACAGCACACACACAGTACAAACACAGTACACACACAGTACACACATAGCACACACAGAGTACACACACAGTACACACACAGCACAAACACAGTATACACACACACAGTACACACACAGTACACACACAGTACAAACACAGTACACACACACAGTACACACACAGTACACACACAGCACACACACAAATGATGGTCAACACGTGGGGTTCTAAGTCACGGCCAAACGGACCCGGCAGACAGATAAATTAGAGAGAGTGGTGACATCACAGCCCCCCGCGCACAGACAACACCCCCCCCCCCCCCCCGGGGGAATGAACCCTTCCAGGAGACGCCATCTACAGAAGCCTTGACATGCCGTGGGAATGTTTCATTCCCTGGAAAGGAGGAGTGGGGGGGGGGTTACCATATTTTACTATCAGAGAAGCGTGGCGAGTGGCGAGCTCGGAATGACAACGAGAGACGACGGGAAGAGGAGGAAGCACGTGGACCCCACGAGCGCATTCCACACCAGAGACGTCAGTGTCCGTGGTGGCGAGGAGATGTTAACTACCTCGCCCGGTAGACAGGAGGTAGTGGGTTCCATCCCGACCCTGACGACGCCTGCTGCTGTATAGTTTGGAGTTTGCGTGTCTCTCTCCCTCTTTCTCCCCGTGCTTGCGTGGATTGTTTTTGCGGCCCGTCTGGGGTTTCTCTCCACGTTGAGAATCAACGTGGATTTAGAGCATTCGGCTGCTATTCGTTTCCACGTAATAGGCCACTTCGTTGAGTTTTTATTTGTGGCCAGGTCGCTTCTCAAAAAGAGCTATATAGCTCAGTGGGCCTTACTTGGTAAAATGAAAATAGCTTAAAAATAGTTTAAACATTGAGATTCATCCAGCAGTGGATAATGCCGCCTATTTGCCCAGTGGAAGCCTCGCCGTGAAAGAGTCTAAATACTCTTTCTCAGGATGGTCGTGCTACATTGGGATGGTTGGTCAAGTCCATTACTGAGTGTTGCTCATCATCATCCATGCTCAATCCATAGATGATGATGCTGATGATCAGGTCTCCAAATCAGCCACCAACCCACGCGCTCCTGCGATTTACCAAACCCGCGTGGTGATGATAATCGTGATGATGATGGTGGTGATAATGATGGAGGTGGTGATGATGGTGTTCGTGATGATGATGATGATCGTGACTATGATCGTGACATTACTTCATTAGGTTCTGTGCGCCGTAAGAGAAACATCGACCTCCCCCCCCATCTCTCCATCGACCCAACCCTCTGCACCCCCTCCCCAACTCCACCACCCACCAAGGCCCCCCCAGCGACCCACCCCAACCCCCTCCACCAGCACGTGCTCGCGAGCCGGTTACGGCTCATCACGAGCGGTTTGCCGCCGCCGCCGCCGCCGTCACCGCCGCTGCTGCTGCTAACAAATGACTCCGTAGGGTTTACTCAATGAGTTAAATGTTTTATTTAAAAAAAATATATATTATACAAAATGTGGGTCCCACGGAAGAATAATAAAATATCACAGGATGGATCGTGCGTGCGTGTGTTGTTGTTGTTGTTGAAACCCACGTGGAGTTCTCGCACGCACGTGCACACACGTCCACACAATAACGGTGGGTCCTGGCTACCGGGACCTCCGAGGGTGGCGTCCCTCCCGACATTCCTCATGGGGTGGGTGGTAAAGAGTGGGAGGAGTTGGTGGGGGGAGGGCGGGGTGGTTGAGGTGGGGGGGGGGTATCGTGGGAGGGATATGCCGTGATGCGAGCGCGCGCGCTCACGCAGCCGTGCGGGCAGAGGGGGGGGGGAAGGGATGCGATAGCAGGGGCGGTGTGGGGTGGGGAGCAGAGGGATGGGACGGACCGGGGGGGGAGGGCTGCACGTGCGTGGAGTCACGGCCGGGTCGGCTGGGGACCACAACCCCGCGACACACGGGGAGGCGGGAGGGGTTGCGGGTGAAGGGGGTAAGGAAGGGGCGGGGGAGGGGACGAATGGTTTGCGCAGTCGATGTTGCAGGGGAAAGCCGGAAGCGGCTACACGGGGAGGGGGTCTTTCGCCGTGGTGTCAGAATCAGAATCTGTATTTATGCTGGAGGAGGAATCCAGTGAGCCAGTAAGCTCTTTTTCACAGACGTCCAGCAGTCAAGGATGCCCAGCAACGTCTAATGTAGCGAGACGCTCACGGCTCTTGGTGGGGGCAGGGGCTGCCCCCGCCCCCAACACTAGCCTGCCCCCCTCTCTCTCGACCCACCCCCCTGCACCCCACCCCTCCCGCAGGAAGAGAGCACGTGTAGGGCGCGTGTTTGAGTAGCGCGAGTGCGTGGTGTGAGTGCAGGCGTGGGGAGCGGTGGCGCAAGTGGTTAGCGCAACTGCGCTACTAAACTATACAAAATATTTTCTTCACCAGGTAAACCCCACGGAGCTCGTAGCTCTTGTCAGGAGGCGACCTGGCCACACGTGGTGGTGATGATGATGATGATAGCTAATCGTCCAAGTTGCTGCAATCATTATCATCATCATCACTGCACGTGGGAATTTATAGCAGCAGGCAAATATTATCGACGCGTGTTGACTCTAAATGTGGAGGCGAGGGTAGCAAGAGAGGAGGAACCGGGAGAAGAATCCACGACACCACCATGGGGAGAGAGAGAACACGCGGACTCCAAATCTACAACAATAGGCATTGTCAGGGTCCGGGATCGAACCCACGGCTCCTTGCATAGCACGCGAAGGAGGTAACTCGCTACCAAGGCGCTTCACGTCGTGTGGAGTGAATGAGTGGGTGGGTGAGTGTGTGGGTGGGTGGGTGAGTGGGTGGGTGGGTGGGTGAGTGGGTGGGTGGGTGAGTGGGTGGGTGGGTGAGTAGTGGGTGAGTGGGTGAGTGGGTGGATGAGTGGGTGAGTAGTGGGTGAGTGGGTGGGTGGGTGGATGAGTGGGTGGGTGAGTAGTGGGTGAGTGGGTGGGTGAGTGGGTGGGTGGGTGAGTGGGTGAGTAGTGGGTGAGTGGGTGGGTGAGTGGATGAGTGGGTGGGTGAGTAGTGGGTGAGTGAGTAGTGGGTGAGTGGGTGGGTGAGTGGATGAGTGGGTGAGTGGGTGAGTGAGTGGGTGAGTAGGTGGGTGAGTGGATGAGTGGGTGAGTGAGTGGGTGAGTGGGTGGTTGAGTGAGTGAGTGGGTGAGTGAGTAGGTGAGTGAGTGAGTGGGTGGTTGAGTGAGTAAGTGGGTGAGTGAGTAGGGGAGTGAGTGGGTGAGTCGGTGGTTGAGTGAGTGAGTGGGTGAGTGAGTGGGTGAGTGGATGAGTGGGTGAGCAGGTGAGTGAGTGGGTGAGTGAGTGAGTGAGTGGATGAGTGGGTGGGTGAGTGGGTGGGTGAGTAGTGGGTTAGTGGGTGAGTAGTGGGTGAGTGGGTGGGTGAGTGGATGAGTGGGTGGGTGAGTAGTGGGTGAGTGGGTGAGTGGGTGGGTGAGTGGATGAGTGGGTGAGTGAGTGGGTGAGTGGGTGGTTGAGTGGGTGGTTGAGTGAGTAAGTGGGTGAGTGAGTAGGGGAGTGAGTGAGTCGGTGGTTGAGTGAGTGAGTGGGTGAGTGAGTGGGTGAGTGGATGAGTGGGTGAGTAGGTGAGTGAGTGGGTGAGTGGGTGAGTGAGTGAGTGGGTGAGTGGATGAGTGGGTGAGTGGGTGAGTGGATGAGTGGGTGAGTGAGACTCACAGCACTCGATGGGGATGGAGGCGGCCTGTAGGGACAGCACTTTGCCTCCGGGCTGCGGGACGTGGATGCGGAACACGAGACGCACGCGCGTGTTCTTCCGTCCGATGTCCGTCTCCCCCTTGCGTAACTCGATATCCGAGTTGCGCAACTTCAGGATCCCCGCGCAGTCGATGCTGCGGAGGGAGGGGGGCGTAGGGGGGAGGGGATGGTGGAATTGTGAGCGAGACTCGTCCCTCGATCTCATCACTCGAAGTTACATCGCTCCGTCACGACCGTCTGATGCATTTATTGTTTACGTTAATGTCATCGACAGGACGAACATCAGCAGTGGAGTGGCAATGAAAGGCGATGACCACGATGGCATTGATGATGATCACTGATGATGATCACGATGGCACTGATGATGATCACGATGGCACTGATGATGATCATGATGGCACTGATGATGATCGTTCGTGCTGCCAATGAAACAGCCGATGATGATGATGATTACGACGAAGTCAAACATAGCACGGCGAACACTACCAGTACATCTGTAACGAAGAATGGCCGTATCCTGTCATCTGTCACTCCACATTATATATGCAAAGTTATAAAAACCCCCCATAAAAACAGCTAAATATAATTTTCATTTTATTTTAAACATCCCATCAGCCGTACGGCTCACGATGATGTAAAAAAAAAGTTTGGAATGTAACTTAAATTTTTTTTGACAAAACTGACCTGGCCATCATTCCGTTGTCGGGCAGCAGCGGAATCTCGAGCACCTTGGTGCCGTGCATGAGCAGCTCGTGGCTGCTCGTGCCCACCGCCTTGCCCGTGATGCGGTGCACCTGGTAGAAGGCGTGCGGCCGCAGCAGCCGCTCGTCCGCCGTGCCGATGAACATGTGCAGAGTCAGCGGCTTCTCGTTGTAGCCGTGCAGCTGTGGTGGTGGTGGTGGTGTTGGGGAGGAGGAGAGGGTGATGAGGAGGTGGTGGGAGATGAGGTGGGAGAGAGGAGGAGGTGGGAGAGGAGGAGATGGAGGAGGAGGACGTCGTTGGAGGGCAAAAGGAGGAGATGGGATAGAATGAGGAGGAGATGGAGGAGGAGGTGGTGGTAGTGAGGAAGGGGTTGGAGAGATAAAGAGGTGGTGGTGGTGGGAGAGTTCGAGGAGGTAGAGTAGAGTAGGGCGGTGGAGAGGATGAGGGTCGGGTAGAGGGTAGGGCAGGTAGAGACGGAGGTGGTGAGGAGGTGATGGAATGGAGGCGGTAGTGATGAGGAGGATGAGGGTAGGGGAGGTAGAAGAGGAGAATGGAGAGGATGGAGACGTTGGAGGAGGTGGTGTTGGTGTTGGTGGGGTGGGTGTGGGCGTGGGAATATTTCACGGGCCCGCAAAATCCCACGTCGTGATCTCACAAATTCTCACCGCCAACTCGCAGCAAGTCGTTGCGTAAAAACACATCGTGGCCGTTGTGAGTGCATGCGCTGCGAACCCGGCGACCCCGAGTTCCATTCCCGCTCACGGCCAACACCAGTGACGATTATCTGAACCGGTTCCGGACCTCCGATAGGTTGACTCAGCCTAAAATTAGTACCTGGCGCGATATGTAAACATAGCCGCTGGGGAGGGACAAAGACGGCCGGTGCGTGGTGTTGACCACCCACCCCGTCGTGTCGGCCTTCACAGGTGCTACTCGCTCACAGATCTTGCCCCAACTGTCGGCTACGGGCTACACGGGGGTGCTTTGCCTGTCCTGTCGGTACTAAGCGAGCGCGAGCAGAGACACGGAGAGGCAGAATCTTGAATCTTTTCAGCGGCGCTGATGATCCAAATCAGAACCGCTTGTCACTAAGCCGCCACTTGTGAAAGTCAACGCCGGTGCCAGATTCACGACCAGATGTAGCGCCCTGGGTGGATGTAGCGCTAATTATTATTACGTTTAACTTCTTTCGCGCCGTACGTAGCCAACCGCGCTAATTGGACGCTAAACTAAAGACACAAAGCAGTTCCCCGCCTAGTTACAAGCAGGGGTTAGCGTTCTAACTTACTTCTGAACCAGCAGCCTGGACGTGTTGCGACCCTCCCTCCTTCCCCACGGGCAGCACAACTTCTGTGTCCCACATTGCACAACTCTTGATCGATTACAGCTTAGAAAGTGCTGTTTGGTTGCTGAGCGCTTGACGTTGTGGGCTTGTCCCCTCCCTCCCCCTAACCCCGGTCCCCCCCGCCCCTCGCCACAACCATCACCCACGGTGCGCCCCCCCCCTCTCCCCCAGCGGTGTTCACCTTCACGAGGGGGTGTCCCCCCGAAGCAGCCTTCACGGCCCCCCGGCTCCCCTCTGTCTCGTAGTGAGCGCGGTGGTGGGGCCTGGGCTCCAACTCGACCCGCAGCTCGTAGGGACCTCCCGTGCTGGGCAGTTGCCAGTCGAGGGGGGGAAGTGAAGTTACCCTAAATTGGGGTGGGGACACACACACACACGTGCAAACATTCCACATTGATGTGACGAGTTTTGTCATTGTACTCAAGAGTAGGCGCTCGGGCTGTATGGATGAGTTAAGGGTTGGTGTCCAGCTCAGGTGAGCAGTGAGGCATTGGTCCGCATCCCTGGTTTACGGCACTGGTGGTGGAAATTCCACGTTACTATGGCCGGGGTTGAGGGGGGCGAATTTCGCGGGGAGCACACAAAGGCCCTTCGGATTATGGGTGTAGGGGGTAGGCGGAGGTGACGATGATCTTTGTGCTGCAGCGGATGATAGGTAGAGAGATGAGGAGGATGGTTACAGAAGGAGGAGATTGAGGAGGTAGGGTGATGACGATGGTGTACTGGGGCTAAGAGATGAAGGGGGGGGGGGGTAAAGGCTGAGTAGTGACGTCAGGAAATGACCGCTGGCTACTGCAGAGGTAACCAATCACTGATCTGCGTCTCTCACCTAAAGAGGGGCGCGTGCGCTCCTCCCACTCCTCCTCCCCCCAGGGCCCCGCACCCACTGCCCCCACCTCCCCCGCTGCCCTTTCCCTTCCCCCACGGGAAGGAGGGAGGCACGCAGAGGAAGGGATCACCGCTAGGTTCTCTCTTGAGCTGCTGATGCTGATGCTGCTGCTGATGATTCTGCTGCTGCTGATGATGATGCTGATGAAGCGCGCACGCCGCGCCGTCCTCCTCGTCCCGCCGCGGCGATGCCCTTCTGCGCGCCTTCACGGGAAGGTCCTCGGCCGTGGCGTCTCCGTCGGGACATATGGCGAGCGCCGGCGTCGCCGGTGAGCGCGCGCCGTCCTCCACGATGCTGGAACGCGGCGAGGAGCGCGGCGAGAGCGCCGGGGAGAGCGCCGGGGAGAGCGCGGGAGAGCCACCACCACCACCACCACCTCCACCACCACCTCCACCACCACCTCCACCACCACCACGTGCTCCGTAATAAATCTCGGCGCTAGAATAACGGCGCTTGCCTCGAGGTGAAGCCGGGAGGGATACGGGCCCCGTAGCACCACCACCAGCACCACCACCACCAGCACCACCTCCGGCCGCCAGCATCCCCGGGTAGAGAAATCCATCCTCGCCCCCCGTCATGAGCCGAGCGGGAGCGCCCGCCGAGCGCCGCCGGCCCAGCGCGGCGTGACCGCTCCCCAGCCCCGCGGCGGCCGCGCATCCCAAGGGCGTCCACGTCTCGTCGGCGCCAGAGGCGGCCGCGGTGGCCGCGACTCGAAATCCCGGGGAACCCTGGGGCGACGGCAGCGGCGAGGATGTGTGCGGAGAGCCCAGCTGCTGCTGCTGCTGCTGTTGTTGCTGTTGTTGTTGTTGTTGCTGTTGTTGCTGCTGAAGGACGAGTCTCGTGGCGGCGTCGTTGAGGTCGGCCTCGTTGTCGTCGCACGCGTAAGGGTACGACTCGATTGAGGAGGCGTCGGAGAAGCAGCTGCGCGACGAGAGACTGCTGCTGGGACTCAGGTTGTTGTGGCCGCTCTCGCGGTACGGGGTTTGGTCCAGGGGCAGGTACAGGTGCTCCGACAGCCTCGGGACAGCTGCGGCAGCAGCAGCAGCAGCCCCACCTCCAGCGACCACAGCAGCCGCGGTGTTCCCGTTGGGGTCACCGGCCGGGTCCGAAGCTTCGGCGCCGCTGTGCGCGGCAGACGTGACGCAGTGCGGTGGGAACGAGGTGATTTGGATGCTGGGGCAGTCGAAGATGGGTGGTGGTGGTTGTTGTTGTTCTGAGTGGCAGCTGCCGTTAGTCGCATGTGGAAACTTGCTCTCTGGTTGCTGCTGCTGCTGTTGATGATGATGCTGCTGCTGCTGCTGATGGTGATGCTGCTGATGCTGCTGCTGATGGTGATGATGGTGGCTGGCGCTGTCGCGCATCGTTTGTCCCTCGACTTGGTCGAGCCAGGAGGAGCTCATGACGAGCGCGTGCATCTGGGAGACTCTGGAGTCTGGGTCGCCTGAGATCGAGAAGCCCTTTCCATGGGTCGCGTCGTGGTCTGGAGCTATTGGGGAAGAGGAGGGCGGGGAGGTCAGCAGAAGGGGGCAGGGGGTGACTCGATGATCGCTACTGCTGCTGCTGCTATGCGATCGCCAACGGGGGGTTCAGTTGCGGTGTAAATGTTCGAATTTGTCGGGGTAAAAATTTAAAGTTTAAGAGCATCGCGAGCCACAGTTGCCTCGCTCACGTGCATCGCGAGGGAGAGAGAGGGGGGAGAGAGGGGGGGAGAGAGGGGGGAGAGGGGGGGGAGAGAGAGGGGGGAGAGGGGGGGAGAGAGAGGGGGGAGAGAGAGGGGGGAGAGAGAGAGGGGAGAGGGGGGGTGGGAGAGAGGGGGAGAGGGGGGGGGAGAGAGGGGGAGAGGGGGGGAGAGAGAGGGGGGAGAGAGGGGGGGAGAGAGAGGGGGAGGAGAGACGGGAGAGAGGGTGGGGGGGAGAGCTGAGTTACGGCGTGGAGCTACGAACGCAGAGGTCCGACACGGACGCTCGAGCGGAGGAGACGGAGCGATGGTAACGATGGTAACGAGGTCGCCAGGGATGGAGGGGGCAGCCCTATTGGGCGAGTGTTTTCATTCAACAGTGGATCGAGCATGGCTGCTGATGTCGATGATGTTGGTGATGACGATGAGAAGTGTACATATTCACCGCTCTCCCATCGCTTCCTCCTAAATCCCCCAAGCCCCTGCAACCCCCCTCCCACTGACCCCCGCCCGCTCCAGAGTCCCATCCTGGACCCCCTTCCTGAGAGTGACTCAGACCAGCGATCGAGGGGGGCCGGGGGGAGGGGTAATGGCTCTAGCCAAGACTCAAACTCACCGAGTCTCAAGGCGCTGCTACATGGGGCGGCAGTGGTGTTCGGGCAATTGTTTTTATTAAATGTCAAGTCGTTTCGATTTAAAGCTTTCGTGACTGCAGGGATTCATCTTCTTGGTTCTTTCGGTAAAGTCACGTAGAAGGGAAATAATAAAATAATAAAAATAAAACATAATAAATGATTTCCTTTCTACGTGACTTTACCGAAAGAAGCAAGACGATGTAAAGTCGTTGTTTTGCTGCACGTGGAAGGAGACCACGTGGTATCCGAAGCAAAGCCACCGCGAACCCACTTGCTGTACTGCCACCCCCCACACCCCCCACTCAGCCCCCCCAACTTACCCCCACCCCCCACTCACCCCCCACACACCCCCAGCGCTCACTACCGGAGTCATCTCGCATAGCGCTGGGAGTTGCACAAATCCCTTGCTTAAAAAGCGACGGATCACGCACGGGCGCGCACACATAGCCATCACCACGACCACCACCACGCCCGTGACAACTCCATGCCCGTGTGGGCATGGAGTTGTCACTTTTTCTCCAGTCACTCGAAGGTCCTCGCCATCTCTGTGGGTGGTGGGTGAGTGGCTCGGGTGCGGATGCGAAGTGAGAGGTGAGCGGTGCGGGGTGAGTGGTGAGTGTTGGGGGGTGGTGGGTGAGTGGTACGGGAGAGGATTCGAGGTGAGAGTTGAGCCGCGCTGTGGGTGAGTATCGAGTGGTGAGTGGTCGGTGGGTGAGGGGTGGTGAGCGGCTGTCTTACCCAGTGCGTGGGTGCGCATGGTCGGGCTGGCTGCGAGATGTCGCCAAGTCGCGAGTCTATCCTGAAATATCAGCAACATCATCAGCGTCATTGTCATCAACACGGATACCAGCGGCAACACACAAAGCCAAAGATCCCCACCCCCGTGTAGCCTTTACCAAACTGTAGGGGGCAAGTGGTGTTAGCGAGCAGCACCTATGAAGGCCGGCACGGCACACGAGGGGGTGGGTGGTCAGCACCACGCCCGACCGCCTTTGTCTTCCCTGTGCTGATACTTTAAGCACCGCACCAGGTACTCATTTGAGGTTGAGTCGACCTAGGGGAGTTCCAGGACCGGTTCAGATAATCGTCACTGGTGTTGGCCGTGAGCGGAATATGAACCCGTATCGCCGAGTTCATAGCGCAGCGCGCTAACCGCTACACTACCGCTCCCCACACACACTGACACGCACACTAACACGCACACTGACACACATACTAACACACACACTGACGCACACACTGACACACACCAACACACACACTGACACACACACTAACACACACACTAACACACACACTAACACACACTAACACACACACTAACACACACTAACACACACACACTAACACACACTAACACACACACTAACACACACTAACACACACACACTAACACACACACACTAACACACACACACTAACACACACACACTAACACACACACACTAACACACACACACTAACACACACACACTAACACACACACTAACACACACACACTAACACACACACACTAACACACACACACTAACACACACACTAACACACACACACTAACACACACTAACACACACACTAACACACACTAACACACACACACTAACACACACACACTAACACACACACACTAACACACACACACTAACACACACACACTAACACACACACACTAACACACACACTAACACACACACACTAACACACACACACTAACACACACACACTAACACACACACTAACACACACACACTCACACACACACTGACACACACACTAACACACACACTAACACACACACTGACACACACACTAACACACACACTAACACACACACTAACACACACACTGACACACACTAACACACACACACTAACACACACACTAACACACACACTAACACACACTAACACACACACTAACACACACACCAACACACACACTGACACACACTAACACACACTAACACACACACTAACACACACACACTAACACACACACAGACACACACACTAACACACACACTGACACACACACTAACACACACACTAACACACACACTAACACACACACTAACACACACACTCACACACACTAACACACACACACTAACACACACACTAACACACACACTAACACACACTAACACACACACTAACACACACACCAACACACACACTGACACACACTAACACACACTAACACACACACTAACACACACACTAACACACACACTGACACACACACTAACACACACACTAACACACACACTAACACACACACACTAACACACACTAACACACACACTGACACACACACTAACACACACACTAACACACACACTAACACACACTAACACACACACTAACACACACACTAACACACACACTAACACACACACTAACACACACTAACACACACACTAACACACACTAACACACACTAACACACACTAACACACACACTGACACACACACTAACACACACTAACACACACACACTAACACACACTAACACACACACACTAACACACACACAGACACACACACTAACACACACACTGACACACACACTAACACACACACTGACACACACACTGACACACACACTAACACACACACTAACACACACACTAACACACACTAACACACACACTAACACACACTAACACACACACACTAACACACACTAACACACACACTAACACACACTAACACACACACACTAACACACACACTAACACACACACACTAACACACACACACTAACACACACACACTAACACACACACACTAACACACACACACTAACACACACACTAACACACACACACTAACACACACACACTAACACACACACACTAACACACACACTAACACACACACACTAACACACACTAACACACACACTAACACACACTAACACACACACACTAACACACACACACTAACACACACACTAACACACACACTAACACACACACACTAACACACACACACTAACACACACACTAACACACACACACTAACACACACACACTAACACACACACACTAACACACACACTAACACACACACACTAACACACACACTGACACACACACTAACACACACACTAACACACACACTGACACACACACTAACACACACACTAACACACACACTAACACACACACTGACACACACTAACACACACACACTAACACACACACTAACACACACACTAACACACACTAACACACACACTAACACACACACCAACACACACACTGACACACACTAACACACACTAACACACACACTAACACACACACACTAACACACACACAGACACACACACTAACACACACACTGACACACACACTAACACACACACTAACACACACACTAACACACACACTAACACACACACTGACACACACTAACACACACACACTAACACACACACTAACACACACACTAACACACACTAACACACACACTAACACACACACAAACACACACACTGACACACACTAACACACACTAACACACACACTAACACACACACTAACACACACACTGACACACACACTAACACACACACTAACACACACACTAACACACACACACTAACACACACTAACACACACACTGACACACACACTAACACACACACTAACACACACACTAACACACACTCACACACACACAAACACACACACTAACACACACACTAACACACACACTAACACACACTAACACACACACTAACACACACTAACACACACTAACACACACTAACACACACACTGACACACACACTAACACACACTAACACACACACACTAACACACACTAACACACACACACTAACACACACACAGACACACACACTAACACACACACTGACACACACACTAACACACACACTGACACACACACTAACACACACACTAACACACACACTAACACACACACTAACACACACACTAACACACACACTAACACACACACACTAACACACACTAACACACACTAACACACACACTAACACACACACTAACACACACACTGACACACACACTAGCACACACACTAACACACACTGACACACACACTAACACACACACTAACACACACTAACACACACTAACACACACACACTAACACACACACTAACACACACTAACACACACACTAACACACACTAACACACACTAACACACACACTAACACACACACTAACACACACTAACACACACACTAACACACACTAACACACACACTAACACACACACACTAACACACACACTAACACACACACTAACACACACACACTGACACAGACACTGACACACACACTAACACACACACTAACACACACACTAACACACACACACTAACACACACACACTGACACAGACACTGACACACACACTAACACACACACTAACACACACACTAACACACACACTAACACACACACACTAACACACACTGACACACACACTAACACACACACTAACACACACACTAACACACACACACTAACACACACACTAACACACACTGACACACACTAACACACACTAACACACACACTAACACACACACACACTAACACACACTGACACACACACTAACACACACACTAACACACACACTAACACACACACACTAACACACACACACACACTAACACACACTGACACACACACTAACACACACACTGACACACACACTGACACACACACTAACACACACACTAACACACACACTAACACACACACACACTAACACACACACTAACACACACTAACACACACACTAACACACACACTAACACACACACACTGACACACACTAACACACACACACTAACACACACTAACACACACACTAACACACACACTAACACACACACTAACACACACACTAACACACACTAACACACACACTAACACACACACTAACACACACACTAACACACACTAACACACACACACACTAACACACACACTGACACACACACTAACACACACACTAACACACACACTAACACACACACTAACACACACACTGACACACTAACACACACACTAACACACACACTAACACACACACTAACACACACTAACACACACACACACACTAACACACACACACTGACACACACACTAACACACACACTAACACACACACTAACACACACACTAACACACACACACTAACACACACACTAACACACACATTAACACACACACATTAACACACACACTAACACACACTAACACACACACACACTGACACACACACTGACACACACTAACACACACACACTAACACACACTAACACACACTAACACACACACACTAACACACACACACTAACACACACACTAACACACACACTAACACACACACTAACACACACACACTAACACACACACTAACACACACACTAACACACACACTAACACACACACATTAACACACACACTAACACACACACTAACACACACACATTAACACACACACATTAACACACACACTAACACACACACTAACACACACACTAACACACACACATTAACACACACACTAACACACACACTGACACACACACTAACACACACACTAACACACACACTAACACACACACACTAACACACACTAACACACACACTGACACACACACTAACACACACACTAACACACACACTAACACACACTGACACACACACACTAACACACACACTAACACACACACTAACACACACACTAACACACACTAACACACACACTAACACACACTAACACA